TCAGCCTGGTGGCAGGGCGCCTCAGGTGGCTTTAATTACAGTTGCACATACCAAACGACCTCAGTGCAGCCAGTCTGTGGCCGAAACCATTCGGAACAGACTTCAACGAAAAGTGAGACAAGGTTAGTGCTATCGTTAAAGGGACCCTCTCACCTTAACATTAGATTTCAGTTGAGATAGCCAAAATGGGGTCCCTGGCTCACAATTACCGGTTTCGGCACTCACAACATCGAGAAATGCCTTAAATCGGAAATATTGAATTTCAAAATTGCAGCATTTTGATTCAGAGGGGCTAATGCATAGGAATACCCCTCTGAATGTGTGACGTCAGCGCCGATATCTAACGATTTTTAAATGTTTGACTAAAACGTTTTGTAGCACGCGGTGGTATATGCTGCGTTGCGCGCAACAAATGCCGCACTCTTAAATAAAGTCGCTAGGAACAGCGGAGATCCCAAAAAGTAAACAAAAGTAAAAGTCTAATATCTTGAAAACCGGTGAATATTTTTCGATGAAATTTGGTAGATATTCGTTTTCGCTCTTTCTGAATCGAGCGACATCACTTTCATGCCAATTCATAAACTTTTTTGAAGATGGGAGGGTCCCTTTAAGTGCCACTATAGACTTGGACCCCGTTGGCTTGACCCACTGGAAGGTGGTAGTTATCGGACGCTGCGGGGCATACTCATTTTTCCAAAATGCCTTAGATTTTGCTTTCGTGTTCATAGGCGGCGGAACGGGGAGGGCACCGGGGCACCGTGCCCCCTTTGATTTTGGCATTTTAACGTTAGCGCTATGGGCGTTTTGCATGCAAAGAATGGGACCAAAAGTCGGCAGTGCCCCCCCCCCCCCTTAATTGAAGGTGTTCCGCCGCTACTGTTCGTGTTTGATGCTCGTTATTCTATAGTCAGCCTTTAGACAGAGGGGGGCCCACTAATGATCAGTGCCCTAACCCTCAAAAGTTTCCAACATTAATTTTTACTTTTTTAATAGTGAAATTGAAATAAAGCGGATACTGAACTGTAAACATCCAGTTTTTACACTGGCCCCACACAAGCCTCCGAATGCCCAAAGCAGATCTCTGATGACTGGCCTTTGGGTGTCATACCATACCGTGCATTGGTCAATGTGGTCAGTGTGTACGACCTCGGCGTATACCATTTTATGCGCTGGAAACTGTTGCGCTCGAAAAAATATCAGGGGAGTGGCTTATTATGAGCGCTCATTAGTCCTAACTACCCGCAATCGAATGGCTAGCCCTTCCGTCTCCGCTCGCTTGCGATTTGGCATTTATGTAGGTACAAAATAGCGGCAAACGACCACTGAAGTTATGAGTTGCGTCTCTTGCACACTTTAAATATCTCTAAATCGAATCTGAAAAGACAAAAAAATGATATAAAGCGGAAATGTTTAGCATTTACACATATTCAAACGGCACCGTTGGACAAACTGTAGGAGCGCATAGCTGCAATATCAGGTTATGGAAATTTTCCTCATGTTTAGGGCACAAATTATGGAGGGGCAAGAATATACGTTTGCCCCTCCTCCAAAAGTTTCTTAGGGGACGATGCCTCCTCTGCCACCCCGTATCCGTCGCCCCTGTAAGCGGTCACTGAAGGCCTGGGTTGCCGCTGCGTCACGTTGACGCTTATAATGCCTCCAAAACTAGGTTGAAGAGAGGAAAACTTCAATCGAACGCGAACGCTTGCCATTTAAGAAAGGCAACGTATGATAAAGTATATGGGCATCTGGTTACATCTTCAGATGATCGAACAGCATAATCAGGTATATGGTTTATTGTCTAAGCTTTGTCACAAATTATGGGGGGGGGGCAAAAAGATACTTTTGCCCCCCACGAATTTGCCAGGGGGGCAGCTGCCCCCTGCCCCCCGAATCCGCCGCCCCTGGTCACGGAAAAGAGGTCACAGGTCAAAGGTCATTGGGGTCAGGGTCATGAAATTTTCAGGGAACGTGTAAAATTGATCAGTGCGAGGGTACTGAAAGTTTCGTCGCGATCGGCCGCTTTTTACGCGAGTTATTCGCGAAAAACCTTAGGGGGGGTTGCATCAACCCCTCCCCTGTGCCGGCGAGGGTTAAGATCATGTCACCAGGCCATGTCAAGGGACTTAAACTAAAAAAAAACTAATGCTCGTCAGAGCTACGCTGACAAGCCAACTGCTTTGAAGGTTTTGGCGATCAATAATTACATTATATTCAAAACGTATAACTCGGATTTTCGATATCGGTGACCTAATGTCAGGTAAATTTTGTGACCCATGAAACTTGAGTAACGTATCAACATGAAACTTACAGTAACCTCAGCGGCATCAATTTGACACCTTGTGTTCAAATTCCAGCTTTCTAGCTATCACAGGTCGGCCGGAAACGACGTCAGAGTGACCGATTTTAATACAAAATGTTTAACTACGGTAATCGCTGTCAAAAGCTCAGTTTTAAGCTACATCCTATTTTCATTGCATGAGTGGACTGAGAATACACGTGGCCGCTATCTCGTATTTTCAAAATTTTGAAAATTTTGGAAAATATACATAGGGTAGGGTGGGGCAAAGTGCCCACCCTAACTTTCCAGCCCCAGTATCTCTTTATCTTACAAATTTGAAAGACAACTAGGTAGCTAATCTGGTAGCTCATTACCTTGGCTTTCTTCGAATAACACATCAGAAACAAGTGGCATGCATAGTTTTTGAGATATGCCATCCGAATTGAGAGGACTACAAATCGGGCGTTTTACCCCACCCATGGGGCATAACGCCCATATGAGTGGGGCATAACGCCCAGTCCTGAACGTTTCATTACACGCTCGGTACTCTGACAAAAGAATGCAGTATTTATCCATTCTCATTTCGTTTGACTTAAAATCGATAGATTACACCACTAAACACATCTTGAACACTACCACCCCACTCTCATTCAGTCAACGGGCTGTCACCGCCTTGGAGAGCGGAGATAAGTTCGTGCGAATAAGTTGTTCCAGGCGATACTAACCAGTATATTGCATATTTCATAAGAATCCTGAGCATTAGAAACGTATCCCGACACTCACTTTCAGCCAAAAATGTTCGCAAATACCCGTACTGTATAACTCCCATTAGGGGTAAAACGCCCATGATGGTCGTTTTGCCCCACATCAAAGTGGGCGTATTACCCCAACAGCACATTCAAAACGAAGTCCACCAAAATTAAGCGTGTGACGATTGTGTTGCAAACCAGTAAGTGCTCAAAACATAGCTTAAATCCGCAGGTTCTGCAAAGATAAATTTCATTGCCTACTTTAATCTCTATCAGACAAAGTTTTAGTAGTATGAAAACATGTAATTTCTAAAAATTGTCTGAAATAAACTAATCTTTATCTTATGTCCAGAACAACCCACTTGTAGAACCGAAAAAGGGGCAAAAGTAGATTCCTGCTCGTTCTTGAAAATGGCTATCGAGAATTCTTCGGAAAGTCGAGCCCTTCATAAAAAGAGGGGTGGGCGTTTGACCCGCCCTGGGCGCTTTGCCCCACTCTATCCTATTTAAGCCGTGTGGGCGTGTTGCTAGACCGTCCGTCGCCTGGTAGCGAGCCGTCTGCCTCCCCGCCTCAGCCGCCACCAATAACCACCGATGTGGGGCGGGCGTGTATTGCAGTACGCGTCATCGGCCCAGTAGTTTCTGAGATAGGAGGGGGGCTCTGCACATAGAGACCGCCCCTCCCAGTCACTGGCGTTACGAAAAATACCACATGGTCATGCGCGAGTTAACGTAATCTTTTAGATTATTAGACACATCTGGGTAAAAGAAATGCAATCCTGATAAGAGCTATGTCATGCTAACTCTGCATTTCCTTGTCAATATCTCGCAAAATAAGTACAGTGACCCAGCCGTAAGTGACTTGGGGTCAACACCTTATATAACATGAGATGCAAAGTTCACGCATTGCAGCGTATCATTAAATATTACTGAAAGATGATTTAGATGAAAGAATAACATAAAGAAAATGTTTGTGAACAATTTGGACAGATGTACGAGCATAACGAAGCGCCGGTATGGTGCATGTACTGCAAATTTTACCGCACTGATTTCTAGCTATAGTGTACCTTACTGTTATTTCATGGGGTCTAATTGGTAAATAATGGCTGCCGCTGTTTCCATTAATGGACAGTTTTTCATCTTCTTTGTTCATTAGTTAAATAATAGAATGTAGTTTGTCACCTTCGTAGCTGTTAATTTATTTTCTTGATTCCTATTTCTACACGCGAACGTTCAAAAGCACAGGTCCAAAATAGTTCAGTATTAAACTTTATAGCTATAAAAGGAGAGCAGATTTCTTCAAGCTTTGTTCGGCAGCTCTTGACAACCTTACAGAAACGTAACGAATCTTGTTTTTGTTCGCCCAACATTGCGGAAAAGTAGATCGATGTCCGGAATGCCCCAGCCACATCAAAGGTAAAATGATGTGATATCCGTATAAGGTTAGCACGAACATGTATTTACATGTTTTTACACTACAAAAACTCGGCACGAGGCGGTACTAAGCACGTGAGAGATGTGAAAAAGTGGACATGAAAAGCAGTGAAACTACCTGTTTATTGGAATGATGTTAAATAGGCCTATAGGTAAATTCTTACCGTGCTTATGTAACATCATCGCAGCGCTTGCGTGTCAAAGGTCACAGCACCATAATTTGGTGGCGCGTGAGGAATGCTAATCCGCGAATATAACCACAAGTCAGCCTTTACTCTTGCGCGGCATAGCCAGGTGGTGGGCGGGATAGCCGGCACAGAACGACCGTTGACCCTGGTGACTAGCGGTTTCCTGAGCACTGCGCGCTCGGCGCCGCGGCGCGATGCGGCTCGATAAATGGGTGCGCCGTCCGTGGCTCTGTTCCAGTGCGGCAGGCCGCCACCCGCCGGCCGGACGCGTGGCCCGAGCAACCGGACCGGACCGGCGTGCCAGCAGCGCGCAGACAGCACGCACGGTCCGCCGACACGCATCCAGCCATGTTGGCGATGCCCTGGTGGCTGATCATGATCTTCCTCAAGTACACCAACAAGGCTCCGACCGGCTCATTTGACTACGGTGATACTGACAGGTGGGCCAGCTCCTACCCACTCTGTGGTGGGCCGATGCAGTCCCCTGTGGAACTCACTGCTACCAGGACTACCATCAGTCGGACGCCCAAGCTGCGATTTGCCCGGGGGCTGAAAGACGGGGAGGTTGAGGTCACCAATACTGGCCGAGAGATCAAATTGAAGCTGCTTCCAAAGAACCGAACCGAGCCGCTTCTGGAGCTAGTCTCTTACAGCTCACCGATGAACGGTGCCTACACGTTTGCACAGATGCACTTCCACTGGGGTCCTGGAGCTCAGCACCATGGTTCAGAGCACTGTGTAAACGACCAGTACACCGACACCGAGGCTCACTTTGTGTTTTTCAACAGCCGCTACGGCGGCTTCAAGGAGGCGGTGCGCCACTTTGACGGTCTGCTGGTGATCGGAGTGATGCTGCGCGGCGCGCAGCAGCCAGGCGGCCTCGCGTTCCCGACGCTGGGTCTGGAGAACAAGCTGCACGCCATCGATCTGCCCGGCAATCGACTGACGCGGCGGACCGACCTCACCTACTTCAAAACGCTGTTGCAGCACGCGGTCGGCAACTTCTACAGCTACCACGGCAGCCTGACCACGCCGCCGTGCAACCCGGTCGTCACCTGGATGGTGGCGGCCAAGCCGGTGGATGTGAGCAGCACCTTCCTCGAGCGGCTGAGGACAGAAATCTTCGAGGACGCCGACGGCACCCGGCCTCTGGTCAACAACTGCAGGCCAACGCAGGGCCGAAGCGGACGCACCATCACCAAGCACATCAGCATCGGATAAGGAAGGCCGCAAGTCATTCAGCGGCGAACGGACTTTTGTGAGCTGTGTTATATGCAATGGCTGGACCATTGTTTGTTGAAGTAGTAGAATACTGTGATTTGTAGGACCTTGCATTGAACAATGTCATTCCCTGATTCGCTGGTCAAATAGGTGAATGATTTTGCATTGTTTTATTTTATACCATCGTGCATTTTGTACTTGCTAGATAGTCAGAAGCTTTATGTAGTTACCCAGCCATATCAGGATATTATTTCAAGTGTTACCATAATGTGTCGTGAGCCGTGTTTGGTGGGTAGTCACACTGAAGGTCGATGCTGACGCGGAGCCATAACTGCTCACCTCCGTAATGATCAATCACCGGCTCCACATGTCGCCCCCTGCATCAATCATGAAGTGTTGTATGTGTCTGCTGGGAAAGTGCTCAGTAAATGCAGTACCACTGTAAAAACGATGCCTAGCATGGACAGCTTTTTTGAAGAGCGAAAACGATCCAGGAAAACGAGGGCATCGCAGCGTCCTTGATTGGGTGAAAGTTTCGGTGCACCAAGGACAGAGCGGGCCTGTCCACGATTACACCGCATTATGGCAACCAAACACCGACCAATATTGAAACGTACGACAAACACTCAAACACAATCCGCCTGCACAATACAACATCCACACAGCGCATCGACGCAGTCACGTCACAGGCGAGCCCAAGGCTATAGAACTCCGAGCCGTTGCGCGTCTCCGATATGTTGTGTTAGGACCGGGTCCCACGGCTCGTCTAGCCGGTGAGACGTCGCGGGACCTTGGGTCGGCCAGGTGCGCACTGCAGACCGCTGACCCTACACAATGTGACCGCAGTCAGCTGAGGCGCCTGATGGCACGACCGATGGCTGCAGCTATCCGTCACAGGTGCAACTTCGAGCTGCTGTTCTATCCGCTGCCGTGCAATGATTGCAAGGAGCGAGCACCGTGTGGTTGCGGGGTGTGTTACGTTGCCTGCTTCCTCGTAATTCTCCTGTTGAATGCCGGATAAACAGCTACTCAGTTTGTCAGGCTGAGGCTGACTGAAGTATTTGTCATGACACACCCAATTTCTCGTAATTGACGACCAAAATATCGTTTTCTTTTTGAATTAGCTGGTGAGATATTCTTGTCACCGGCTGTAGAATGATTCTACGCAAATTCAAGATATTTGCCCGAAATTTGGGGACCTAACAACTACATACTTAGGTCATAACTACATACTTAGGTAATACCTACATACCTACATATGAGGTAAGCTCAAAATTATGTGAATACCTGCAAGTATGTCATAATACTACAATTAAAAATAACAGGCAATGTCCAGCACATGGCGTGGATTCACTTCATTCCTGGCATTTGGGCAGTGCCACACATTTCGGCGAAGGACAAAGGCTAGATAAAAATGGCAAACAAGGCTGAAACATGTCTCAGCAGCGTACGATAGTCATATTCAGAAGTTTTGCTTGTAAATGTGCGCATAGCACTCATTGTGGAAGCTTTGCTACATGCGTCTTATGTAACCACCGAAATCTGTGAGAATAGGCACAGAAGCTAGAGAGGTGTTTATAAACTAACTTCAAGATCGCTATTGAGGTGACGGTAACTACAGGTGGTTTGAAATAGATAGACACCATTCGTATTGTGGGCGCCAGCATTTACAATTTAATGAGCCACGGGTCTCATTTTTAGACCCAAATGATGTCAGCGTGGTCGTTGACGTCTGCCACCCGCGTCATCACGCCTCTCGTGATACAGAATAGGATAACAATTCAAACAAAGAGCTTAGCGCCGTGTGCGTGAGGGCACGGCGAACCATATCGGTCGAAATGGTGTCCCGTCAGCAGGGGGGGGGGGAGGGGCGGATCTGACAGCCTGCCGACAGGCACGCACAGCCGTGGGCGGTGGGTGCGCTGCGCCGATCGGCCGACGCACCGACGCAACATTCCTCCGCCAGGCACACAGCGCGCCACAAGGTCGACGCCGCCGCACAAAGCCATAACGTTCTTGGATACGGTCGCATTATTGATGAAGCAAGGTCGTGCCGCAGTTTTATACACCGAATAAGGAAAACATCCTTGAAGCCGTGCGTGCGAGCAGCACTAAATAAAACTGCACACCCAGGAAGATACAGAATTCTGAGAATGCATTTTGGATGGCGGACACGGGGTCTTTGTTGATTCTTTGTGAAAACCTGGTCACATTGTGTCGCCCGGGACAGACAATGATGTCGCCAACACTAAAAGGCCACCCAGTGATCCGGTAGCTCTGTTAGACATGGCCAGCAGTAGCCTTCCTGTAATAGTTTACCTCGAACCCAGCAGTTTTACAAACCCAGTTACGGTTAGGATTAAACGTGACCTCAAATCCAATGTGCTGGATCTGATGATCTATGCGCATATGTGAAAATTTGTAATCTTATCTCAATCTTAAATATACTGAGCGATGTAAGCCTGACGATTATGCCTTTTTCACTCGTCTCGCGTCTTTTAGGGGTTTTGCCTCTGGGCGGCACTTCTCACGCCTGGTTTCCTCATGCTTCTTCATGTCTTCACTAATTGGATAACGGCCTAGCAATGCACATGCGGATATGATAGCGAGTATGTCTTGTAAATTTTACACACGATACAACTTAAAGACCTTAGTGGCAACGTGTTCACGTACTACGTTTTTGATAACATATTTGAGTTCATGAAAACGTAACAGGATACCTGAACAATGCAGAATGCACAATGCATATGATGGTTAGATGACGGCGATTGGTATGTTTACTCGTTGAGTTTTGTAGTGTATAGATATGGGTGGTTAAGGAGCAATGTTTGCTTTAAATTGATAGAACGAGACACCCAGTCTCTGACCTGATGTTTGACACATGCAACATGTTCTGCCTAGTCACTCGCCGGTGCATGGGTCGTCTTCGCACTAGATTAGGTACTCGAGGGGTACTAATAATGCCAGAAGGGAGGGAGGGGGGGGGGGCATATCAACGGACCCTATAGGTCTACCTGTTCGCATGACACCAGGACAACTATTAACTAATGGCTATTCTGGTGTCTTCGAGATTGTGTGCATGATATGCATCTTGGCGCCAGCATGGCCTAAATCCAACAGGAAGTTTAGCAAATTTCTACTGTAGTGAGGAGGACAATTCTGCATCCTCCTCTCCAACGGTGCTCATGGGAAGTACCATCACCTCCAACAGCTGCACAATGACCTTCCGCTGCAATAGTATTGTGCCTGTGAAACAGGAAAAGCGCCAAATAACGGTAGCTGTATGCACTGTCTTCTCTCGCCATCAGAAACCTGAAGACCCGCGTCCCTGATCTGTAGAACATGAAACACCAGCACCTGAGGTGCATGCTTGACACTCCGCGTAAAAATGATGGCGTCGAGAGAAGGATACATGCATGCTATCGTATGCATACGCAAAATCACTCGGGATGTGTACTTAAAAGTTAGTTCATTACTTGAAAAAAACAAATGTTTCATTACAGTCTTCAGACTGGCCTTCTATATAGAAACTGAGGTAGCGAAGCAAGACGCTTTCCAATACTCTTTTTTTAATGTGAGCTAAGGTCGCACGGTTGAAAACGGTAATAGTGCAGGGCCTAGTTTATCCAATGGTAATATATAATACTGAACGAGGCCGGTGTAAATAAATTTTCAAGACCGAGGTCCTTACTGAATTTTTGAACGAGGCCGAAGGCCGAGTTTAAAAATCAGTAAGGACCACTGAAGGACCACTGACCACTGACCACTGATCAGTAAGGACCACTGACCACTGAGGTCTTGAAAATTTATCACCGGCCGAGTTTGGTATGTATTTTACTGTATGCCAACGATAAAATAATTGTCTAGACCGAAGCTCTTAGCCGTTTTTTGAACGAGGCCATCCCAAAATGTTGACTTGGTAATGCATTTTTGACCGTGGTCACTTTGCTTACACCAGTTATTACTTGGTTATTACCACACCCCTCAGGCTAATGTATTTGAATAGACCAGGCATACAGTAAAATTGCAGCTGTCTGTTGGATGATAGTTATTTATATATTGTTGCCTTCATGTTTTTATAATAAAGCTGCCCACCGATCGCTATTTTCCTGCAACCGTTTCACCAAGCGTCTGTGAAAACATGGTTCACTTATTTGATCCTTTTATTCAAAGACTGTCACTTGGCAGTCGAGCGTCAAGCCAATGTGCTACTAACCTCTGCTAGTTTTGTTTACTAAACAGAGTTTTCATACAGGCATTTGCGTAATCAAATGGATTAATTGTATGTGATAATGGTACGATAAGTAAGCTTTGCAAAAATGTTCGAATATTCCTTTGACAAAGTTTGCTAAATTGCTTGGGTCACGCTATGTAGGTAAGCAATCTCACAGCGTTCTCATGAAGCGAATGTAACGGATCAACAGGAAATTCGGACACAACCAGACAGCCCTCTTCTGTTCAGCTGTTTCCGACAGAGGATTTATGAGTTTTCCGTTACATTTTCCTATGTTCGATCGACAGTTATGCCGTAGCTGAACGAGCATTAATGTATCAGCGATCAAGAAAACATCCGAAATCGCATGCCACAGCTGATTAGAATGATATACTAACTCACCAACTGTATTCTTGTTAATTGCAACATTACAATGGAGCTTCACTGCATGTTAAAGTTAAACTGTTGCAATTCATAATTCATTTTGCTCCTTAGAAACAATCAAGCTTGCATTATACGCTATTGCCAATTTCAAGGTACAATACTTTCTCCCGGTATTTTTGTACATGGATCTTCGCTTGAAAAATAGAGTAGGTAACCTTAACTGAATGTCATGCGTGATTTTTAGTGATCACGTTTACATAACGTGCGAAAATCTGCACCTACAATAAAGCGAGCAATAAATGCGCGTAAATTGCACGTTTCAATTGATAAATAATTTGGGTTTTCCTGTGATTGAAGGAAATGAAACCATGCACCGGTGTTCATGACTGATAGCACTAATCTC